AATATCATTTTCATCAAAATATTAATTATTAAAATATTTAAAATATATTTATGCGAAACCTTTTTTTTTTCCATATTTAAAGCTGGACTTTCTTCTTCTTAAATGCTCCGTAGATTCCACAAATCTCGAAGAAGCTGAAAGTAAAAGACAAAACAAATGATGCAGCAACAAGTAGAGGAATAGGCGTGTGGACCCGAGCAGAAACCACGTAAGTCCTAAGGCAAAGATTCTTGTCTTTTTAATTTCCAACATGGACAGTATCGTTAATAATCATACCTTGGATTGACTTTCGTAAATTTCCCATGAAAGTTTCTTCCCAGGTAGATGTACAAAACTTGCCTTTTAACTTGAAAACCAGTGATCAGTTTAGGGGCAAATAAGTGGAGAAAACTAGCAATGGATTAGACGGCTGATGGTGCTGAAGCAATATATGTTGCAGTGGGGAAAACACTAGAAGAAAGCAAACACACTTTATCATGGGCGTTGAACAATCTTTCCCCCACAAAAATTTGCATTCTTCATGTTCATCAGCCTGCCAGTTTCATCAACTTGAGTAAGTTCAAATTGGGTGTCTTTACTTCTTTGAAATATGTCAAAATTTTGAATTTTTAGTTGTTTTAGGTCGTAAGAGTTTTATAGCAAGCAGGCTTCAACCACAGGAAAATGGGAAGAAAATTTTAGATAGGATCATGGACGATTACCTTCTTATATGTGATAAAAAATGTGTAAATATCTCTTATTTTTTCCTTAAAGGAATTTGTTTTAAAAGCTGCAGAAAACCATTTTTCTGCTAATGTTGTTGGCCTTTGTTTATGCCTTCTCGTGTAGGTGCAAGCGACAAAGCTAAATATTGAGATGGATAATGCTGCAAAGGAGATTGTTGAGCGAATCCGTGATTACAACATCAAGAAACTTGTCATGGGAGCTGCAGCTAACAAGCATTTTTTCAGAGTAAAAAATAACTTGTTCAAAACTTAGATTATTATCCTGGAACCTATTGTTGTTTTACAACTATGATAATGCAAAATTTGGTTTATTTGCGTGGGGCAACTCGTCCATACAAGGTTCGCGGATCGGTTGTAGTCTTGTTTTTATTCTGTTCTGAAGTTTCTGCATACCTACTTTAACTACTACTTGCTGTAGGTCACTTGTTGAAACTGGAAAATCACACCTGAGTGACCCTTCTTCGAGTTCTAGTTATTTGACATGCTCAGGCAAAGCGACTAGCAATTCGGATCAATCTGCATCTGAGACACCAGGGGATAATCCGGCCTGGCTTGAGTTACATATACTGTTCTACTCAGGCAAAGTCATTGATTACTTTAAAAGCTTGCATCAATGAACCAAATATATACATCTAGAATCTGATCAGATTAAACCATCTGCTAATTGTTTTTTATGGTTTATGAATTTTTCACAGGAAGGAAGTAGTGATGATGATAATCTCTTTGATAAACTTGAACAATCTCTAGTGAATGCTGAAAAATCAAATCAAGAGGCATTGGACGAGTTGGATAGGCGTATGAAAGCTGATAAGGATGCTCTTAAAGCTGTATTACGCCAAGTAATGTCCTCTTTCTTGATTTCACTCTCCTTTCCTCTCAATTTGTGTATATATATTTGCCTCAAACCTGTACAGGTATAGTTGATTGTTGCAATGAGACGTGTTTCTACTATTTTTTTTAGGGAAGAATGGATAAAATTAAGTAAACATTTCATGTTACTGCTTATTCTGTCTATTTTGATGGATATCTACTGTATCAAGTTTTGGCTCAAAGTTCCAAATACCCAGTTTCTGGCCTGAGGTTCTGGTATTTTCATGGTGTCTTTAGCAATCCAACCTGAAGGTTTTTAAAACTGCTATCTCTGATCCCACAACTCTATAATGATAGCCATTATCAACTTGGAGGTAAGTGAAATGAAAAGCTCATACGTTGGAGAGTTTAGACGCCGGAAGGAAACGGAAGCAACACTTCGGAAACAGAACAAGGATCCTGAACAGAACAAGAAGCAGAGATATGAAGCGCGCAACATTGGCAGAACTCAAAAGTTATTATTAGATAATCAAGGTGCCAACTCTGGTCGTGTTAAAGTATTGGAAGCTAAGGTTTCGTCAGCAGCAGAGCAGCTAAAAGTCCGTGAGAGAGAGCGAGATGATTTGCAGATAAAGCTTGAAAACGCTTGCAAGCTAATTGAAGATCACTCTACGAAACAGGAAGAAGACACTTCTAGTGTGCATATGCAGCAATTCTTCTCAGAGTTTTCCGTTGCCGAAATTCATGATGCAAATGAGGATTTTGACCCTTCCTTTAAGATTGCAGAAGGAGCATATATAAATGTACCCTTCGTCACACTGAAGTGGCTATAAAAGTGCTCCATCAAAATAGCTTACAAGGACCATTGGAATTTCAGCAGGAGGTAAGCAAGTATCATCTGAATTATCGCTTTTCGTGACCTTGATTTCAAAATTTGAAGGCAAGCATGACCTCTCAATCCTAAGATAACTGAAACTTATTCAATATATATATATATATATATATATATATATTCAGGTTGATATTTTGAGTAAGGTGAGGCATCCAAACCTGGTCACACTAATTGGTGTATGCCCGGAAATATGGGCTTTGATCTATGAATATCTTCCTAATGGAAGCCTTGAAGATCGTTTGAGCCGCAAGGATAATACTACCCCATTGTCATGGCAAACTCGGATACATATTGCAACTGAGATATGTGCTGCGCTTATCTTCCTACATTCCAGTAAGCCTCAAAGGTAGTTCATGGAAACTTAAAACCCGGGAATACACTCCTTGATACCAACATTGGCTGCAAACTTTGCGACTTTGGAGTCTGCCGTGCACTTTCTTCTCTCGAGAATTCAAGTGATACGACCGATATAAGCCGTAGATTTCCTTATCTGGATCCTCAGTTTTGCTCCACAAGAACATTGACTCCTAGTTCTGATATATACCCGTTTGGCCTTATATTACTACAGTTGATTACTGGGAAACCACCCGTGCTTTTAGCAGAGGAAGTACAATATGCAGTAAATGGACAATATCTTAATGACTTATTGGATCCTTCTGCTGGAGGCTGGCCTTATGTACAAGCTGAGCAGTTGACTCGCTGGGCTTTGAGATGTTGTGATCCTAACCGAAGCTGTCGACCGGACCTTGCTTCAGAGGTTTACAAGATGCTTGAGCAGATTAGAAATGATATTGGACCCTTAACAACATTCCATGCAGGGTCTGATGAGCATAATCAGCCTTCTCATTACTTCATTTGCTCCATTTCACAGGTTAGCTTACGCCATTTCGATTGCCGTATTTATCACGTACCAGGACTAATCAGCTACTTTGTCACGCAACATATAGACGAGAATATGTCTTAAGAGTCTACACGTATGATTGGTTTGCTCATGTTTGCAGAAGGTGATGGCCGAACAATACGTAGCAGCCGATGGATACACGTACAAATTACAAGACTTGCGGAGATGGCTGGATAGTGGTCACAATACCTCTCATGTGATCGGAAATCAGCTCGCTCATCGCACTCTCAACCCTAACTATGCGATTCGTTCAGCAATCTTGGAGGGTGGCAGCAGCAGCGTTAACCAAACGTTGTATAAGTGTTGATCCTTGGTAATGTTTTCTTCATGCTGCTGTTACTTGTTCCAGGAACATATCTGATTGGTGTCCTTTTCCCCATGTTCTATGCTGCATGCTTCTACTTTCTTTAGTCTTCGTATCCGTGTTAGTTGCCAAGCAAAAAGGAAAAATGTATCTTTGTTAAGTTGGAACTTTCATGTCGCTGCTAGTTTAAATAGTATATATATATATATATATATGAATGGAATTTTTTATTTATATATAATTAAGGTAGTTTTATATTATTTATATTTCTTAGTTTTATACTTATTTAAATAGAGAATTAGATGTGAACTAGCTTAAAACTAGTCTGTTACTGGTTAATTTCTAAACGTGTTGTAATAGCTATACTGCAAATATTACATCCAACTCTATCCGATAAAATTATATCCTTCAACTAAAATTCAATTTGGAATTAGAATACGAAATTCGACTCATTTTTGAGACAAAATCTGGCGTGATCCAACTCGATATATATATATATATTAATTTGATAAAATATGAATTCAATTGGGAAAAAATATATAGAGAATGGTGCTATTCCAGTTATTCTTTAATATATATAGGATAATTATATTATTTTTTTGTCGAATAGGATTGAATAAGATATCTTTTACACTAAATTTAAAGTAGACCCAAACATATACTTTAAAAATTTATTTCAAACTTAATTTTTTTTTTAGAAAAATATCTTATTCAGTAAAATCGTATTGAATCGAAACCCGTTCCGGATCTCCATCCTATTCTCTACAAAAAGGTACAAAAGTTTATCAACTGTGAATGGTTCTTTCTATAAGCCATAACTGGCCACATTTAAGTCAGTTATTGGCTGCATTCGTTTCTAAACCATTAAAACGAGCCACGTTGTCAATACAGGATGGACCTGAGTGGGAGGGTTTCTTTGGACGGACGGCACTACAGTCATGGCGAGCTATTCATGCACCATCTTTTACGGTGGAATCACACGTGTGGAAGATGGAATGCGTGCTGATCACCTCTTCACTCTATGAAAATGGGGAAATTGGATGAAATTATATAATTTTAGAAATTAGAAATAACATTGTAATTGTGCAGTCATTAACGGTGTAAATATAATTTACAGGATGAACGTGCATTCTAACTTACTACCATAATTAACCTAAAACATGATTCGGATGACTGGTACACTAACAAGGACAGACACAAGATTTTATTTTATTTGAGGACGAAAATAAATTACTAATAAAAATATTAAAAAAAGATATTTAATGAGAAATTAATCAGAGGGGTAATTGCCCCACCCCTGGATATCAGGGTTATGAAAGTTGAACTAATGAACACAAAAGACAAGCTTCTTTCTTTGGGATGGGGGTTTAGAGAGTAATTTGATCTGACCAGAACTGGCTCAATAAAAAAACACAGTTTCCTTCTTATTTCTTTCTATTATGAAAATACAAAGAGGTTACCCTCACAATCAAAATTGCATACTGACTAAGCACAACAAAGAAACTAAATTTAAAAAGAATAAAAATAAAAACTTACAAAGGATCCACAATACCAGGGATCCCAACCCTTGTAGCTGTCATCTTTCAACGACCTGAAAAAGTATCTTATCAAAATCTGTTCATGCTGCGAGCCGAACGGAGGAAATGCCCATCTTCTCTACTCAGAATCTGGATATCAATACACAAATAATCTACTAGTTTGAACAAAGGGAATCGGTGACAATGCAAACATGTAGGCTTATTTTACATACAAGTTCAATTAGTTAATTTGGCAAGGACCAAAATGGTGTAAAAGCAAACGAAATTACAGTTACAAGTTCAAATACTTATTTTCACAGGCAACATTAGAAAAATATAATAGAAAAGGATAGCATCGTACTTGTGTATCTCCTTAATGAACCATTTCCATTAAGAGAAAAATGCACTGGTTCCCTTTCATGACCAAAAGATAGAATTTCTTGCATTCTTTCGGGCCAATCTGAATTCAATCTACGGGCAAAATCTTCCACCTCCCTAATCAAAAGATTAAAAGATACTGACATTGTTGTAAAACAAGTATAAGATACTGACATTGTTACTACATTCGCTACAGTAAGAATACAGCTTTTCCTAAATTAATATGAACAATAACTAAAAGTAATATGGATAAGTACATAGATTTCAAATCGAGCAATGGTTTCAGATAATTTCCAAAATAGTCCCGATCACAGAATAAATACAATATCGGACTATTTCTATTACTATATAGATGCAGCAGCACTCCCCTCTAGATACATAAAGGGACTTACATGTGTATCACTGAGAAATGAATAAGGTCATGCCATTGTGTCTATTAAGTCCAGTTACTACAATGTTTATTCGGCAGCTAATCCTTTGGGACACTTTTCTGTAAAAGATCAATAGAAAATGGAGGGGAAAGGGGAAGGAAGAGAGACAGTGAAAGAAATGACACCAACACATCCTTAATCCTTATTTTGCCTCCCAAGTATGCAAAGTAAGACACCCACGTGATCATATATATAAAAATATATATGTATACATAAAGTCCAAAACCCACAAAATCATGGATTCTCTATAACCAGATAATTGAAAAAGATTAAAACACCAAGTCTAAGAAGTGAAACTCCAGGATAACATGACCATTCCTTTGATATTCCAGAGGAGGCAGAGGGGGCAATGGTCAAATAGGAAGAGGAAGAGGAAGAGGAAGAGGAAGATTTACAAGGCAAAAATCCATCTTTACCTGTCTATTTTTTCTTTCAGTGCTAGATCAATCTCGTCATCAATATCACCATCATCAAGTTCATTTTTACTGGCAAATATATCATCTTCAACATCATGTAAGTTCGAGGTAGCACCAACACCGGCCCAACTTTTCTGACCAACTTCGGCACTACAGCGCACTGAGTTAAGACCATTTAGCTCCTGGAAGGGGAGAGGAGCTTTAGTAATCTACCAGTATTCCAAGAAAAATAAAAGAAGGCAAAATAGAGGAGGTTCACACCTTATTATGGTTTTTAATGGTTTCATTGGTAGATGTGCTCTTCTGCTGATCTTTTCTTTTTCGGTTCTTCTTTTTACTCTTTGAAGTTTTAATCCCTTTAGAATCTGCAAAACAGAATTCCCTTACCTCCCATGAGGCCTTTAGAAAGAATTAGAAAAAGAAGACTAAGAGGCAAAGCTTTTGGTATCCATAAAAGCAGAACAATTTTAAATGGTTATAGTTCCAGTATATAAAACATATGTGCCAGTACAGAAGAGAAATATCAAACAAACAAGTATAATTAGTTCTCCAAACATTATCCATAACTGAGTGTAAAATCTCAAATGTCAGTTTTAGTTTGTTGGAAAATTATTCCTAAATGATGATCCTCAACAATGATAATTGAAGGAAGCAAATAGGCACATTAATCATCTTATTATCCTGTTCACCAAGTAAAGCAGGCCACCCTGTAACATCTTCAAAGAAAGGTCTGTTTTTTTCCATGCCTTCACAATTTATAGATAGTCAAACTGGTTTCTGATAAAGAAACGCTAAAGAATTTGTTCTTTTTGTCCAATTCAGGTTCTATGATCGACTTTCCAGCCCTCAACTCCCACATGACTGTAGAGAAATAAATGACATTTGGGCATTGAGGTTGAGATTGACACATGAGATGCAACCAGAACAAAACTAAACTATAGTACTATTATACTATTCTTTCTGGGAGAAAAGCTAAGGTATCTAATCAGTAAAAACTCAAAGGTATCTATCAAACTATTCTGACAATATAAGCAAATAAAAAAACAAAGACTCATGAAACATAGAAGGTTTTACAGAACTGTAATCTTTGGGATAAAAAATTAAATATATTCAAACAAAACATATCAGGACATGATTTAAGCATACCTCCATTGTCCCCATTGATAAATGATAAAAGGTCATCAACTGAACGATCATCGACACGCTCTTCTTCAACCTCAGCATTCTGAGACACAGAAGTCTTAACTTATTAACATGCAATTTAGCAGGGAGTAGCATAATGATGCCTTATGAAGTTAATTGGCAAAGCAAGTTCATCTCAACCAGAATTATGCTCCACTAAGGAGTAAAATTGCAGAGGGTAGGAAATAATCAGAGAGAAAAGCCAAAAACAAGGAAGAGACAGTCACCTTTATTTTCTGCCTCTCTTTTAGTTCCTTCCTCTTTTTTGCATACAATCTATTCAACAGTCGAATGCGTGGGTCATCAGTTGTGTTTTTCAAAGGCTCCAACTTTTCTTCCTAAACACCAACAAAATAAGTAATAAAATTACAAATAAGGATTAAGATAACAGACATGATAAATAAAGAAGCTTCAACTAACACCAGACACACCTCAGTAAGATCATCCGGCAAATGAAATATCTCACGTATCTCCTCGGGGCTTTTTCCCTCAATAATTCTCGCAAGAGCGCGACTAGTAAGATCAACTAGAGGTTTTAATTGAAGGCTATCAGCAGCAGATGTCAACTCACAAAGCCTCTTTGTGTCCATTCGGATAAACTTTTCATCAAAAGATTTGCGCTCCTTCAAATAGAAAAAGCAAACATGCAAATGAAGGGGAGAGGAAGCTCTGTGTCGGTTTGCTAAATGAAATTGAGTACCCTCGAAACACATTTACATTTTCTTGACCCAAAACTCAAAGTGGCTAAAGAAATGAATTAAATAAAGAAAGCCGCCTATACCTAATGAAAGTTTAAAATGGGCTCCATATATGCCAATCCAGAAAGATAAAACATCTATTTTAGGAAAGCAAGATGATAACACCAAATATAAGAGGTAAATGCTAATTGAGAAACATTTTTGACCTACCTTGTTAGAATGACCAGGCACTTGATGAAACTGGCAATAATCAATAATTAGGCTTAGCATGGCAGGGTTGACTCGCTGAGGAAGGGATATAGCACAATTCTTGGATGATCCCATGCCCTTTTGTATCACTTCATGGCATATCATGGGACAAAACATTGCAACCTCCCGTTCTACTTGTTGGATTGAGCCATCAGCAGTTTGAAGCCAAATGTACGACTTCATCATCTGAGAAGATATCTGGAGATGCTTCAGAATTAAAAGTTAAAGATACACTCAAGAACAAGCCAAGCACACTCAAACTATGTAAAGAAAGCCCAATAACCAAATAGAAAAATAGTTGCCACCCACACCCATCTCAAGAAATTATTCCATTGGGGTGTCCATCTACCGTAAGTCCGTAACTCACAATATGCAGATTAAAAAAAAATCAAGTTACGCACATTATTGTTAAAATTACAACTAAACAACTTTGTTCACAGCATAATAGTTAGGTCAATATAAAACCAGAGCTAAACCTTTTCCTAGTTAACTAGGATATTTAGTTGCTACGGGAATAAATATAACCTTGAACGATATGCCTTTTATACCCATAACAGAATCCAGAAGAATACGATAGAAATTGCTCTTCTTTTGAACTATATACTAATGATTAACCTAAAATGTAAAGACATCACCAGGAAAATAAATAGTCTATAACTTAAGTGGACTCAATAAAAATCGTACCTCGGGTTTGATGACTGCCATATTCACTTCCGACATTTCAAAGTATATTTCGCACACCAAGAAAGGTCTTCCTGTTTAGCTTGTTGTACAAGAAGTTGTACACCCTGCTTCTCTTTTGCTCAAAGGCTTGGATACAGTAGAAGAAACGACAGGTTTTCACTTCTTAAGTGACAGAGACTCTCAAATAGGTAACAAGTTTCCCAGTGTAATATTATCAGCGTAAATTTCCCCACTTGCAAGAACATTGATTTTTGGAAGTAGATCTCAAGAAGTACTTAAATATGGATCATGAAGATGTTCAACCAAAAACAATAGAAAATATGTGGCAGAGTTACGAACAGATATTTCAGATCAAGTAGAATAACTGCATAAATAAACAATTGTATAAAAAATTAGACAAATTTCTGCAGTTAAGTAGTTGACTACATAACATGTTGCAACTTGCAAGAGAAGAGACATAAACAAGAATCTCAACATTATCAAGGTTCTTATCACTGAAATCACTAGCATCAGAGTCAAAGCCAGCAGCAGAAGTAAAATATTTATCATTTCAGGGGAAAATAACAAAGTAGTTGAACATTTAAATAATTAACCAGGATTACTCTCACCGGAAAAAATGCTTTCCTTCTACTGAACTTGCTTTAAAGAACCAAACATTCCACATTAAGCATACAAATATTTTCAGTGCACCAAGACAAGCAGGAGTCATGGCACGATGATTCCCTCATAGGAAATCAACATACAAATTTCTATCACAGACAAGCCTGACACCTACTGTTATGCTCTCTCCTCTGGTAAACTAAAGTTATCAATTAAACATTCGAAGTTATGCAGCTACAACCCCACTGTTGATGTGCTCGTGATAAAAAGAAAAAGAAAAGAAAGAAGAGATACATGGAACTGTTATACCAAAGTCAACATGTATCCTCTCAGTACCTCACTTCCACATTCCATTTGTCTTTGCTGCAAATGGATAATAAATCTTACACAAGTGTTTGTGTTACATCCAATTTATCCAACTGTACTCCCTCTAAAATTACCTTTCCTGAATTACCACCATTCTTGAATTAGTCCTTAATTAACCCTACTTCCAAAAATTCTGAATTCAATCACTTCAGAATATTATTTCTCATATTGCAACCATTCCACCTCTATTACCATTTTAGGAACATAATTTCATTTAATTGGCTTTTAAAATGAGGTATTCAACTTATTATGGCAATAAGAGGAAAAGCTAGGTCACTCGACGATTATAAGAATACCGAACTACCACGTGGCATCCAAAATTTTCATCTGCCAAGGTTCTGGGTTATAACAAGATAACAGAGCTATATTTCGCCCTATCTAACAGTTATTTTACATAAAAACTTCTTCAATTGCATGCAAACTAAGAGCCAACCTATTTTCTTGCACGTATCAGTTATCAACACAACCTGAAAAACACCTTATAATTCAATATTATAATCAGTTCATTTTCCTATTCTTAATCAAGTTTTATTAGTTATTATTCCTTTTCTCAGCAACCAAACACCTTTTAACAAATACGAACACATATAGCATCAAATAAACATAAATGAATTTGCAAAAAAAAAAAAAAAAAACCTAAACCTACCTAGCTCTGAAAGTCGAGCAGCTAAAAATGGGAAACTGAAAATTTGAACCAAAAAAATCAAAATAAGAAAACGAAACACATTTCCGTTGTCACTCGGTCATATAGACAAACAAAAGCAATGAAAGAACGATTCTCGAAAGTCAATCTCAACAGATAAGTACAAAATTGATTTTCTCTTCCCTTCTAATGTTAGATATCTAGTATTTCAATTACTTATATTTTTTTTCAATTCGTAAACAATACAGCGTTGTTTCGATTATACCTGTGTAGAAGGCAACGGTGGTTGCAGAGCTTTCGAACTGCTCGGATACGGCGGTGGTTGGCGAACTCCGAAACGGATAAATGAGAGAGAGAACGGAAAAGGAAAGAGAAAGACATAGTGTTCCTCTTTTTTATTTTCTCTTTTTTTAATGTAACGCATAATTATTTTATTTTTTAAAATATAGTTAAATTTTTCGAAAAGATAAATATTGTAAAAAAAAGGAATTTGTGCCCAAGGTTTGCGAGCCGAGTCATCCTGTCTTTAGAAGAGCGAGGGTCCGTTAAAACGTCACCGCACAGTTTTTACTCACACGTGAACGCTACTTCAAGTGGGTTAGGGTTTCGTGGTGGCTCTTTCTTTCATTTTTTATTTATAGTTTTTTTATTCAAATCCACCCAACCAGGAAAATAATCACGTGCGACAGTTTTAATATACGATTAAAAAAATGTTATTTGTTTTATTATTATTTAAATAAAAAAAAAAGTAAATTATTACCAAAAATATTATTATTTCTACCGATTTTACTATTTTTTCTATCGATTTTGTTATTTTTTGGACACTTTACTGAAAATATTAAAAAACATTAATATTTTATGTATAAATAATAATATTTTAAGTAATTTTTACTAATTTTATTATTTAAATTATAAAAAAATTGACTTTTTTTAAAACTATATATTAAGAGTACAGCACAATAAAACTTTCCGACCATTCAGCCACCCCTGAAATACCAAATATGCAGTTCTCTTTAAAGAGAAACTAATATTAGTAGTATTTTTTTTTTCAAGAAACTAATATTCCAAAATGTAAAGTTCTAAATATTTATCCATAAACTTAACCTCACAATTATTTACTCTTAACGATAATTTTTTACCATCTTTATTTACTAATAAAATTTAACTTAAAGCATTATTTATTAAATGCTTAATTTACTATTCTCTCTATCTCATAGTTTGTGTCTTATATTGATTATGCACAAAATTTTAGGATGTATATTTGACCAATGAAAATGATAAAATTATTCTTAAAAGGTGATCGATAAATTTAAATGAATTATTTTGATAGATATTAAAAAAATATATGGATAAAAATGAAATATAAGTTTTGATATTTGTGACTTTTCTAATATGATACTTTGAATGTGACAATTTTAAAAATAAAAATGGATGTCCCTTGTTCTCATATGTAAAGGGGAGGTAAGATAGTAGGCTGCCCCCAACACCAGGTTGAGAGCAGCTTCCATAGAAGACCTCCGAATTATGAAATACCCTCCGTGGGACTCGATCCCACGACCTCAAGGTTAAAAATCTTATGCTCTACCAACTAAGCTGAATAGTCATCTCTAATTTTAAAAATAAAAAATACACTTTTAATTGGACAAAAAGAATATTTCTAGTATTAAATTTTGTAACTCAATACTTATACATATTAAAATTAATATTCTTTAAATTATACATAACACGATACTTAACAATGGTAAGCTTCATTTTATTTTTTAATAAAAAGAAATTTACATGTGACATAATAAAAAGAAATTTACATGTGACACGTGTTATGTGCCTCATAACGATTTCTAACTATCGTTACAGTGTAAACACTTTAAGAGTAATGCTGAAAATGCTACGTCTATTTTAAGCGAATTTTTTTAAATGTCCATAATTAAATTTTTGAATACTTATTTTTATATGAAACCTTATGAATATATTCAATTAGGGAATTATATATTTCGATACCCAACATTAGGGTTTTCAGCCGTTTTCTAGACCCTTTTTGTTTCTTTTGTTTCTCTATTGTTTTGATCTTGGGGTTTGTTCGTTAGGGCATCTGAACAAGTGCTGGGAGAGTGATGGGGGATATTGTTAATGAACTAGAGGCATTTGGAGTTGGAGGATGAGGAAGTTCTTCGTTTGGAGAATACAGATACTACTCCGTTAGTATCATTTGAGAATTGTCTGGTATGGAGATTTTTAACAACAGGCAGTGTGAATTTTCAAGCGATGAAAACCATGTTGGCGAAGGTTTGGCATCTCATTGGAGGTGTTTCGATAACCGAATTGGAGGCTGGACAATATTTGTTTCGGTTTTATCATGAGGTGGACGTAGAGAGGGCGTGGAGTGAAGGCTTGGTATTTTTATTCCCACTAACTGATCGATTATAGGATACTGAAGGATGAAAACCCGAATTTGGTGGAACTTAATAATGTGGACTTTTGGGTGTTGGCCAATGATCTACCGGTTGGTTTTATTTCTGAACAAGTTGCTAGACAGTTGGGAAAGCTTGTAGGTGATTATGTGGATTTTGATGCATCGACTATTGCTTTAAGGTACAAGGGTTTTTTACGCATTCAGATTAGGGTGGATGTCAGGAAGCCTTTGAAGAGAAAAATAAGCTAGCTCTGTCAAATGGGGGTTTCACTTACGCCACATTTCAATATGAAAAATTGAGAGTCTTCTGTTTCTTGTGTGGGAAATTAGGACATGGTGAAGGTTTCTGTCCTTTACAGGTTCTTAAACAGAAACAAAAGCTAATGCTGCAGTGGGATATTTCATTGAGAATCCCACCGCGACGTAAACTGTTTACGCCTAGTCCATGGCTTCGAGAGGAGGGGGAGCAACAAACAAGAGAGAGAAAATTCGAGTATAAAGGGGGGCAGTTTGAGGGGAGGTAGTAATCAACGCTGGATTGAGACATCAAGGGGGGTTGTAGTAGTTTGAGGACGAACATGGATGTATTGATGGAATCGGCAGAGGGGGATATCCCGATGCACAAATTGGATGGGGGTAAGAGACAAAGGAGTCTCTCGATGGAGAAAGCAAGAGTTAATGAAAATGATGCTGGACGAGAAAACATATCGGCAGGCCTGAATTCGCAGGTCAACTAGTCGTAATGAAAATCATAAGCTAGAACGTCCAAGGATTGGAGATGACCAGGATGGTTCGTCGTCTCAGGAATGCGCTGAAAGACGTTAATCCCTCTGTAGTTTTTTTTATGGAGATAAAACTACAGAGAATCAGTATGGTAAATATGCGAAAATCTTGTGGCTTTATTAATGAAATTGAAGTAGAGTCGCGAGGTACTTGCAGAGGGTTATGTTTAGCTTGGAAGTCTAATTGTAATGTTTCGTTACGTTCATTTTTTTTTTCGCACACATACGTCTTGATTATATTATTGATGATGAGACTGGGGTTACTTGGAGATGCATGAGTTATTTTGGAGCTCCGGAGGAAGGTAGACGAGTAGAATCTTAGAATTTTCTGAGGAGTTTAAACGATATTCTGGATATGCCGTGGGTAGTGTTAGGTGATTTTAATGAGATTATGTTCTCATATGAAAAAGAGGGGGTCTGGTACGTAGCGAAAGACAAATGAGGAGTTTTTGCGAGGTACTTGATGATTGTCGGTTTCATAGCATAGGGTATTCTGGTACTTGGTTTACATGGGAGAGAGGACTACGGGCGAAAAAAATATAAGAGAGATGCTAGATCGAGGAGTAGCTAATGATTCATGGCTGAGTCTTTTTCGTCAGTATTCGCTACAACATTTAATGCACAGTTTTTCAGATCGTTGCCCATTATTTGTTACTCTGACGACCACGGCAGTTGTACCCCAGTGTTGACACTTATGTTCGAAGGTTTATGGTTACTAGAAAGTTTGTGTGTGGATGCGATCACTAGTTCAATTCCTGAGAAGTTAAGCTTTATGTGTCATGGTATTGATAAATGGTTCAAGGAAACCTGTCATAAGAATCACATGCCAGCGAATGATTTAAAAAATAAATTAACTGAATTAGTGGAGCTTTCTCCTACGGATGATGTCCTGAGAAACATAATTGATACGAGAATGCAACTAAATTTAGAGGCAGATAAGGAAGAGTTATATTGGAAACGAGCACATGCTAATTGGTTAAAAAAAGTGAAAATAATACATCATTTTTTCATCGATTTGAGTCCAGTTGAAAGTGGCATAATCGTATAAGGGCTCTTAAATATGAAGATAGGGTTTTAGAAAGTGACGAGGAGTGGATGGGAAATTTAGCACAATGGTACATTCATAACTTATTTCAATCAATTTTTCCTTCGATTGCTAATGATGTTCTGGATGGTATTGATTCTTGTATTACGGGTGAGATGAATAATTCACTCTCGAGATCTTTCACAAAGGAGGAAGTTACTAACGCGGTGACGACTTAGTGTCCACTAAAAGCGTCGGGAGAAGATGGGCTTGGTGCTTTATTTTACCAACGGTTTTGGCATTTGATTGGTACTGAGCTGTCAGATTACTGCTTATATCTTATCAAAGGAAGGGCATAAATAGATATTATTAATCACACTCGCATTGTTTTGATCCTGAAAGTTGCTTCATCTACTAAATTAACTCAATTCCGTACAATTAATCTATGCAATGTCATCTACAAAATAGTGTCGAAAATGTTGGTGTTCTGCATGCAGTTTATTTGGATAATTACATTGATGAAACGCAGAGTGCGTTTGTCCTTGATCGTTTGATATCGAATAACATTATTACTGCATATGAATTGTTGCATTCGTTCATGAAGAAAAAGGGTGGGGTTGCGGTAAGTGGTAACTATATAATCACAAGAACAAAAAACAGATCACAGAAAGTGGTAATATAAACACAATTCGGAAACTCTTTAGGATGCAGCTATGTAGCTTTTCGTGAGAGATAAAGACAAATAAGTTAATCAAATAGCAAACTAACATATCAACACCCCAATCAATCTCCTCACTTCGCTTTTTCATCATCATAAGTTCAAACTTTCACTAGGGAAGGTGACCCTTCCAAAAGAACCTTGACGGTGGCCACCGGAGATGACTTCTTTGAGGCGATATATCGAACCAAGCACCCTACCAGTCTTCTGTCAAAACCCAAAAGGTAAAAAAAGAAAAGTCGGTCTTTGAAGACAAAGAAGGTAAGTCATAGATGAGAGAAAAAGAAGGGGGTGAAAGGGATACAGAAATAAGAAGGCCGCGTGCTCAAGATGCATAGTACTAGACATTGGCAGATGTAGTCATGTAGACTTTGGCCGGGGTGGACACGTGTCTACCCTAAAATCCGAATATCCTTATGTTAGTAGTTCATTTTACTTTGGGTGCCCACCCTAAAATTTTATTTATGCCTACCCCATATAAAAAATATATGTTATTAATACAAGTGTGCCCACTCTAAAAAAAATTTCTAGATCCGCCACTGGTACTAGAACAGTTCAGATCTAAGACAGCCGCCTACAACGAACAGATATCTCAACTTCCAAAAGTTCCAAATTTATTGAATAAATAGTTGACAAGTTTCTTAAACTTCAATATTGTTGAATAAACAGTTGGCAACTGTATGGTTTCTAAACCAATTAATATTAACATGCAGGGCGTCACTAAAAAATATAAAATAGTAGAGCATAGGATCTTGTTTCCTTCCTCAACTTTTCTTTAATTCCTCTCTACTTAGTCCAACCAAGAAATAGGTTTTCCTTTTTGCAAAATATTACACAACCAACTTTACCAACCGTTTAATCCTATCAATTCCAAAGTCTACATATTATCCATGTTCACATAGATAGTAGACACACATATTCATGATAATATGAAAACACTAGGTAAAATGTAGAACCTGCCTTCTCAAAACCTCTTCCTTCACAAAAGTAAATTTGAGACTGAGCTGCCACTATGTTGCAATGCTTGCAACCTATCTTGTTGCCAACGCTGCCCAAGAATCACAAGGCCCAAGACAGCGGCTGCAACAAAAACAGACCAAAAGGCATTTACCTCTTTTGCATGAGCATACAATGAAATTGCTCTTCTCTTCCACCAAGCTTCACAAGGGAGATCAGAGCCATCAGATTTATCTTGTAGAGGCTTTGCAGACTCAGGCATGTCTGAAGGAAAACCAAAACCTTGCTCAGAAGCTTCAATAAGCTCAGAAACCGTGGTGGTTGATCCACCGAGTGCTTCCTCACTATGGAAAGAACCAAATGTAGCAGCACTATACAAAATCTGGTCCTTGTTGATCAAACCCAGTCCTTGAAGTGTTGTTCCTTCTTCAAACTCTGGACCATGTTTCTCATCAAAAAATTCCATACCTGGAAATTCGTCATGTACATTCAACCCTTTCAAAGACCAATCTTCTTCTTCTTTTGTCCTAGATCTATCACCTTCTTCTACAACACCGGATTCAGAGATCACATCCTTGCCAGCATGTTCGCTAGTACTATCGGGTTCCAGTGGCAAATTTTCATGCTCACTGGGGGGAAAGACAAAGTGACTGGACATGAATAAAGCACGAGAAGTTTCTGCTTCTTCCACTTCATATGAATCACCTTTACTATCATCCTTTGTTTCAACTTCTTTTGGACCAGGAGCGGCAGCATATGCAGATGAGGTAAGGGACACAACTTCCCATTCATTACCACGCGGGATGTTTTCCTTTCCTTCCCCATTATCCGCCATTGTAAGACTTCAATGCTTCCTAGAGTTAATAGAATTAATTATTTTAACAACCACAGAAAACAAAATAAAGGGTTCCATACAGCTTGCTTTCCTTGTCGAGAAAGGGAGGAGGAACTAAGAATTACTAACCGAATAAACCTATAAAACTTACAAATTAACTATTAGAAAGCTAAAAGCAATTCCATAAGATTAACATGGGCCTAAAGATTTTTCACGAAGGAATTAATATGAAAATAACATTTTTAAGAGGACTATTTTCCTCGAAGAAAATACAAAATTTATAGTATTTCCCCTGCACCAAAATCAACAAAATTTTTTATAATAATAATAATAATAGCATCTGAGAATTTTTTGCAGCACGCGCAGGTCAGTCGATTTAGCAAAACACCGATACCGTGTGTATACTTAATAGATAAACGTTAACGGTTCCCAGGATATCTTTTCTATCGGACTGTACAAAAACCAGTACATAAACTTGACCGGCTAAATATCAAGCATCGACCAACAAATCAAATCAGTCTAACAAAAATTAACTTGAACGACGAATCAAGCAGCTATTCAATCATACATCAGAAATTAATCAAAGAAAATAGAGATCAGAAAACGGTATCAAACGTAGCCATACGATGATTACAAGAAACGATCAAGCATCAGAAACAGCGACAAGAAGCAGAAAAGACTAGTCATCGTGAATAGAAAATCAAAAGATGATCAGTAATCTATGGTTCTGATTTCTTCAAATTCAAAAGAAATTAGCAAAAAGATAAAACAAATGAAGACGAAAACCTAAGGTCAATACTTACCGGGAGAGATCTAAAGCGTACTAGATCAGTTTGAGAGAGAAACAATGAGTTAACTGTTTCGAGAAGAGGGAACGGAAATCTGGGTCAGCTTTTATAGATCTCGAAAAGTATTCGTAAGAGGATGATGAAAACCGGAGAAAAAGGTAACTGTCATATAGTGGAAAGGATAAAGTTACCGGCAGTGGCAGGTAAAACAACGCTCCCTAATTCTTCTCGTTAGCCGTATAGTAGGGAAATGGAAATAGTGTGCAGTGGAACTTCGTGCGTTTGCGTGAGCTTTCAAAGCCACATTCCTCTTGCCATACATAAAAATGTTCTAGGATTTTTTACTAAAATAAAACATTTTTTATAATTAATTAACAAAAATTATAAAAAAAAATATATAAAAATAATACTAATTCTAGTCACCTAGTGTAAACTTACATTTAATCAATAATACTTTTAAAAAATAACGATCAATTAAACACATTTTTATTTTATGCGATATTCCAATTGAAAGATGTTTGATTAATCATGTATACTGATTTTTTAAATCATAAATTAACTGTTTCATTATCAATGTTTTAAAATATTAGTGATTTAAGGAATTTGAGATTATTCGTATTTATGATATATGTATGTCGAACTCTTATAGTTTATAAAAGAAAGGTATTAATTTTTTGTTATATATAAGTTTTAGGTTTAATATAAAAATAAATGTTCAAATTATATCTAAGATTAAGTTTTAGTGTCTAAAGAATTTTTGTTTAAAAATATGTTCTTAATGTTTTCTCGTTATACTTTTAAATGTCTAATGATTAAAAAATTATTGAGTGACAAGCGTTACTATTATATTTAAAAAATATATTTTTAAAAATATTAAAAATATTACTTTTATAAAAATAAATCTAAATTCTTTAAAATTACTAAACTCCCTCAAATCTCTATCCTTATTTTCGTTGTCAACGACTACACAACATTGATTATTTATATTTTTCTAATCTCTCTTTTCCGATTAAACTCAACTCACCAAAATGGTCCTTGATGTCGTCCTTGCTTTCTTTGTTGGGAGGTAAGAACGAATGGGATGTTAGGAGGGACGGACGAAGGAAAGGGACTGGAAAAATAAGATTTATACACAAGATAAAATTCATACACGGCATAATTAAATTGGTTATAATTTTGTAATTTGATTTGATTAGATTATATTGAATAATCTAATTTTTATCTTTGATATTGTAACATCCTAATCCGATCTGATCCGAAGTTCGGAAGATTTGAATGTCACACGAAACCATAAAAGTGACTAACCATTTTTTTCATTTAAAACATCATATACTTTTGAAAAGACATTAATAATAGTAATAAATCATTTTTATAAATTGGAGCTTCACTGTTTAAAACAATTAATACAACTTAAAGTTTACAAATCATAATACATAAGTAAGGGTCCTATGAATACACATGCTCACTACAAATAAACATATAGTACTATGTGAGGAATGTTGGAAATCTCGCTGCAACGGTGCTCTTCGAACGACTCAATATACTATCCTAAGAACAAAAAAATCCGAACGTTGAACTTACAAGGCCCAATAGTATAATCACTAATCTAGAACATCATATGAATCTCATAAACATAAGCAACACCATGACTAAACATATATCAGGTCTCTAACCTCAGTATCATCTTATATGCATCATCATGCATCACAAAATGATAGTACTTGGTATCACAAAGACATCAAGTTCAATCACACAAACAATGATAGGCATCATGGCTTAGTTAGAGGATTACTTAGCATCCTAGTACTCACACTCCTCTATTCTACCAAAGGTACCCTAGATTAGACTTGGGTTACATAGCATTGGAATCTTCACCTAGAAAGGCCCTCATTGCTCGATACCTAGGACGCCTCCGAGTCACATAGCATTGAAGCCTACATCCTGCTAGTTTACTCCTCATAGTACTTGGGACGCCTCTGGGTCACATATCATCAGAGCCTATGTCTAACTAGCAATTGAAGTTTCGTCGCACTGACTCAAATATATTTGGATATTCTATACTGTTGGGATTTTCGGAAGCTCGAATCGACAACCGGAACGGTTTGCAAAGAGGAGTCGGAATGGTTTTGTGTTTAGGGAGTAAGGAGATTGAAAGATAGGGAATTGCACATCGATTTATAGTGGTTCGACTTTCTCAACCAAAGTCTTCGTCCACTACCTTAGCTCCTCACCAAAAATTTTCCAACAAATCCACTAATTTGTTCTTTCTTTTGAGTACAAAGAGATAACCTTACAACTCCCTAGTTTTTCCGGGCTGAACTAGAACTTTTCCCCTTTACAAAAGGATAAGAAATGTAAACAAGAAAGCCTCTCTAAGGTAGGTGTTTACAATAATTAAGCTCACAAGAACAAAATATTTACAAGAGAAAAATATTTACAAGAGAAAGATGAAATAAGAATGAAAAACTCTTCTCTTGTGTTTGATTGCTTGGATAGTTGTTCTCTTACTTCTTCAAGTGTCCTTAGCTTGTATTTATAGTTTGGAATGTGTTTGAAGTCGTATATAGCCGTTGGGGATGTTTTGGAGCCGTTTGGGGATGATAATCAATTAATAAAACAGCTTGGAGCGTAGGGAGAATCGATACCCCTCATAAGGAATCAGTTCATGTAGTGTAAAATTCAAATATTTCGACCGTTACACAGGGGGAATCGGTACCCTTTGGATATTTTGTTTTCTCTCGAAGCCAAAATCCTAGGGGGGAATCGGCACCCCTTGGGAATCTGGTTTTTCTTGAAGCCCTTTAAAAATAAAATATTTTTTGGCTCGATTAAGGCTCGAAATACTTTGTAAAATTTGTTTAAAAATATATTTTAAGATTAAAACATAATCTTACACTTGAGTAAGGATTGAAATTGACATTTGAAAAACTTGAAGTAATATTTTGATATTCGAATAATTGAATCGAATATATAATTTAAAATTCAATACAAAATCTTAAAATTCATTAACACTTAATTTGTTATATTGAAACATCAAAATGTTTTCAACAATCTCCCCCTTTTTGATATAACAAAACATTTTAGTAATTTTAAGATTTTCTGATTGAAAATCATTTTTGAAATTACTCCCTCTTACTTTAACATTTCTCCCCCTTTTTGTTAAATAAAAAATAATTCAATCTTTGAAGTTCAAAATAACTTTGGAGAGTAAGTAGTAAATAAAATCATTTGAAAAATCAAAGATCCCCCTCAATAATAGCATTCCAAACAAAATTTAGCTTTTAAGATCATGACACTTAAATAAAATTGAATTTCAACAAAGAATAACAAACATGTTAGTAGCACATGAAATTCAATACATCAAAGTCTAAAATACTTTATGCAATATCAATTATTGAAATTAAGTGCATATGCATAAAGTTTTCCGAAAATGTTATGCATTTGAAAATTTTGATAACAATTGTTAGAGATATATCTTTTTCATTTTAAATCACATGCATAAACATTTAATTTTAGGTCAAAAATTTATAATTTATAAAATCAAAGTATTTGAAAAGTTGATATCAATTGTTAGAGGGATATCATTTGCATTTAAAAACAATTTGACCAAAATTTTATTATGATGAACTAAAAATTCTTAAAAATTAATATATCTTTAAAATGTTCATCATAATCATCTTTTCAACATACATGAGATTAAAACAATGATGCATAATCATTTAAAACCAAAACTCATGCATGCTTAAAATCAAATGAGCAACCAAATAACCAAAAATATAAGTATTAAGCTTATAGGTTACTCATTACTTTTTCATATGTGGCTGAAGCATCTTGAATATCATCATTTTCATCACCATCGCTCTCACACACCTACAAGAGACATTTAAGTAGATTTTGGTATCCAAATTACTTTGGATCCTTGGACGTTAGTTTCAATGCCTCTTGTTCCTTTCGGAACCTATACTTGTCTAATTTTAAAACGTTTTTTTTTCTTCAAAGGACAAGTATGTTCCTTATGGCCATGATAATGACAGTGTGCGCATATTATCATTATTGAACTAAATGAATTATTTAAAATGATTTCTTTTTCTTTTGTTAAGCATTCAAGCTTAACTTTTAAATCAATATTTTCTTTTTCAAAACTTTCAATTTTTATTTTTGAAAGATCTAAATCCTTTTTCAAAATTTCATTTTGGCTTTCAAAATCTATTTTTGTTTTCAAAAGAAAATCGTTTTCGATTTTAAATTTTGAAATCATTTTCTTATATTTGGAATTCATGGTCTCAAATCCCAAATACAACTTATTATAAGCATCTTGTAACTCATCAAAAGAATAAGAATTTAATTCATTTGAGCTAGAAGATACCTCGGGCTCTTCAAGAGCCATTAAAGACAACCTTTGTTGGTTCTTCTTTCTTGTTTCCATGGATTTCCTCGAGCTTATTCCAAAGCTCCTTGGCATCAGAGCCTAACTCGTTTAAGACTCCAAATACTTTGTAAAATTTGTTTAAAAATATATTTTAAGATTAAAATGTAATATTACACTTAAGTAAGGATTGAAATTGATATTTGAAAAACTTGGAGTAATATTTTGATATTCAAATAATTTAATCGAATATATAATTTAAAATTCAATATAAAATCTTAAAATTCATTAACACTTAATTTGTTAAATCGAAATATCAAAATGTTTTCAACATATACACATAAGACGATCATCATACTATTAAAGTAACTCGGGTTTCCTTGTTGTTTCTCGAGTGTCACACAAAGACTAATCTTATAGAATCTTACCTCATAAGGTTATTATGATTATTACACATGTAACATTATTATCAATTATATTATCATTATTATCAATTACCTCATAAGGTCCGTGAAACGATTGATGTAACATGTCAACAGACATTTATACCCTTAAAATAGATAAATAAATAAATAAATAAATTGTTCAAAATAAACATATACGTAAATTAATTTTTCAAAATATATAGATAAATAAATTATTCGAAATATATAAATAAATAAATATTACCTCAAGATTTGTTCGCCAATAATCGAATACATGCCTTCGATTAACTCTCACTAATCTCGCCATAATAATCGTAATGGATTAGATAAAAGAGAGAAAAATGAGATAGAGAGATTTTTTTTGGAAGAAAAGTGTGAGGAATTTGGTTTTGAGGGACATATTTATAGGAGTCCTCGCACCGCCTAAGCG